ACAATACAACAATACCAAGATATTTAAGCTCACTCTAGGAGCAAATTTTTCACACCTGAAATTTTGTAATGTTTAGATTTTTGAAATTTTCTTTTAACCCTTTGATATATTTATTTTCAAATATACGAGGAAATCCAACCAGTTTTTCTCAAGAAATTTTTTGGTTGATGTTTTTCTTTTGTCTATCTTAAAGTTTATAAATTTAAAAAAAATATTTAAATTTTATTCATAACTTCGTTGTCTTTTTGCAACCTGCGTGAAAGTAATACAAACAGTCTTAGAGGATACTTTCATAAATATATCAATACAGCCTTCTCTACTTTATAAATATTTGTTGTGTTCTGTACAACGGCAACTATTCATCAGTAATTATGCAGATAAGCTGAAAAAACAACATGCAACAAATTTAAAGGCTTTTGTTATATCCTTTGTATACGATTCTTTCAGTTTTTTAACACAAGGTTCGTGGTTACAAAACAGTAATTGATATCTCAGATGTGTTTTTGTGTCGGGCTTTTACAGCATTTGATAGCTATTGATAACGTAAAACAACAAAATCAAAGATTTAAGGACATGTGCCACATTTCGACGTTTTATAATACATGTAATTGTGCATATATCGCATCTCATAAATAATGCGTAATTGTAGACACTGCTTATGATGTTGAACTTTTTGTTATCACCCTAAAAAGGACTGAGTGGTAGCCGCAATTTTTGGACTATTTTAATCTCCTTTAGAAGAAAAGATTCATATAATTTGATAAAATTTTAATTAATTCCTTGCCAAATGATAGTTGACATCTTAAGATATCGTTTCTTAAAAAAATAAGTTATATCAGATGGTTAATATGTTAACCCCACCCCCTTCAGCCTAGAGCTCCTTAAAGGGGCTTGGACACAGTCGTATATATTAACAATATTGTTTTTCTTTTTTATTTCAAAGTACACTAGAAAAGTCTTCACAGCTTTATGGTGTATTCTCTATATGAATGAAAAAAACATACGAGGGGTGATCAAAAAGTTCGCGATCTATCTCTATATTTACAAAACCACGATTCAGATCAAAATGAAATTTAGCACATCCATGTTCTATAAAAGCATATGAAAGATAATGATTTTCTTCATCATTGTTACGTCACAATGTGAAACTGACGTCAATATATAGGTCACTCGTGACGAAAAATGGTTATCACAGTCTTATTCGAGCAACGAACGGATGTAAAGTATAACGTATATTTCGGAAATTCCTTTGAAGTATCTTATAATAATTTGTAAAAGGTTTATGAAGACAATAGACTTTCCAGGCGTTCAATCATAAATTGGATTGATTGTTTTAGTGAAAGGATACAGATGGTTAAAAATGACATTTGTTTTGTAGCCCAGCGAAAGCAAGTTGCGGAAGAGATGTGTTCTTTGTTAGGCAATTTTTTATAAACGATTGCAAAGTAACATCTAGAAAAAGAGTTGAATATCTGAACAATAACTATATAATTAAATCCCTTAAATATTGCTTACTTTAGACTTTTAACATATCAAATATGATAAAAAGAAGGCCCCAACCACTTTATACAAGCGATGGTACTAAGACAGAGGACGCGGGTGGTGATGGTCACCATGTTCTTTCTGGGAAAGGATATCCTTATCCAACCATCCTATTTCCGAGAGTTGGTCATTTCTGACAAAAGGACTGTTCCTGTTTTAAATCAGCTTGCAAAATAGGATATATAAGACTCGGAAAAATATTTTAGCGCTTATGAACAGAATGCTTCAGAGCATGTCACGTGACCGCCTGAATCACGTGATTCGCGCATGGATAGAACGATGGCAGATATGTATGCTACTTTAAAAATAGTGAACACTGAAACGTAATTTTATTATACCCCTGCAAACGAAGTTTAGGGGGTATATTGGAATCAGCTTGTCCGTCTGTCTGTCCGTCTGTCTGTAGACAAGATTTTGTCCGGACCGTTTCTCAGAAATTATTTGATGGATTTGTATGAAAATTTTTACAGTTATTCCTCACCATATGAAGGTGTGCACCTGGTATTTTCATTAGGATTGGATGATTTTTCTGCATTTTACAGGCATTTTTTCTTTTTTTTTTTTTTCTTTGGATCATAGTTAGAAAACTATTAGACTTACAATCATCAAATTTGGCCAATTTATGCATCTTGGGTAGAAGATGTGTCATGACCTATTTCAAGGTCCCCATGACTTTAATTAAAGTGAAATTTAAAAAAAGAAAAGTTTTACTATCGAATTACACAATCCCAAAAAATGTAAGAGTGTTGCACAGTATCCCTATTTAAAACATGTTAAATTAAGAATTTTTTTTTCATTACATACTTTACAGCAATCCTTAACAAATGTTTTTTTTTTATTTAATAAGAGAAAATCTACCTATCCCAAGGGTATAATTATCAAGCACTGATCAAGGAGAATTTTGATAACAGAAAATTGCATGTCAAATTAGAGAGAAATTAATTAGTTTAGTGTAAGGAGCTCTGATCTCTGATCAAGCAGTTGTTATCTGTCTCTTGGGAACTGGGCTAAGGAATCAGTATGATAAACTATTTTTTAAATTGTATGATACCCTAAACTTAATTGATATTGTATAATATCATTAAAACTAATTATATTGTATGGGGGGGGGTACTGGAATCAGCATGCCCATTCTCCATATGAATTTCAGATTGAAACTTTTAGTCTGATATCAAATCTAAATAAATCAAGTATTTTAAATTTTAAAAAAATATGGTAGATAGTCCCTACAAATCAAAGAATCATGCAGGAACCTTATTCAAAATAATGCATCAAGATTACAATTTTTTTTCAGTATAAAACTTTGTAACAAATTTTTACAAAATCTTTGTTTTAGATTGAATTTCAGAATGACACATGCAATTATGCATTTTGATTGCACTACAAAGGAGAAAGTTAAGATCCATTCATCCCTTGATAGTAATTAGTGGACATACATCCAGTCAAAGATTAATTAATGAGTTCTATGTAGGGAAGCTAGCTGTCTCAGTCATTTCTGTTAGAACATATCTCTGATCAAGCAGCTCTTATCTGAATCCTTTGGGAATTAGACAGAAGTGCTGGTCAGTTTAAATAGCATTTGTCATTTGATGGCCAGTCTCCTATTTCTAAAATCAATTTGGTATAGATTAAGTTTTTAAGACTAATTAGTTAAATTGATATATTTTTATTTATTTATTTATTTATTTATTTATTTATTTATTTATTTTTTTGAAAATATCAAGTGACCAATTTCATATTGAAAGATATGTGCATATGTGTATGTTGCATTTGTCAAGCTATAATGCCACCAGTTGATGATTATTTGTTATAATTAATGCTTAAACCACAAGAGATGTTTAAACCATTATTATAAGGAATGGAAAAATTATGGAAATCCTTTTAAAAGTTGACAGGATTTTCTTGCACTCTTTAACTGTTTCATATAATAATTGAATGAACAATATTTGACGGGAGTATCATGCTGAGGCGGTTTACTTTATTATTTTTAAAATGAATTTGATATAAATTTCTATGGATTAATTTGATTTTGATTCTGTATAATGTTTTTTCAACAATCAATTTGCAGTTGCAATTTATTTTTTCAATGAAATAAAAAAAAAAACTGTTACAATGTATCAGTCTTCATGTTTTATTTGGTTGCACCTTACTTTCATTAATTAAAAAAGAATATAATGTGCAATTAAAATTTCACTCAAATTGTTTTTATGAAATTAGTGAACACCTCTTAATATATCCATAAATATTTTTGAATTTGCACCTAGCTACTCTGAAAAACCCAGCGGGGGTATTCGTCCCTAGTGGACAGATCTAGTTTGTTTTATGGAAGCTATTCCGTCTGCTTCGAACATTTTGGTCACCCCTCGTATAATTAAGAGAATATTATCATAATTTTTTGCTATGAACACATGCCACATTTTGTTTAATGAATATGTGTCTTTGTTACTAAAAAAACATTTTTTCATTGATAACGATGGAAAGGTTTTTTCAAACATTTTATACAGATTTGGCGCTAAAGAAACTGGAAAAGACTTTTGAAATGTTATGAAATGTTACGGAGACAAAATACATATGTTTGCATTCAGTGTAATTTTCCTGATGAAATCCATTAGAAATCCCAGACGTTCAAATTCATAAAACACAAATGAAAGCTTTTCACCGCGCGTTAGAATACACAGTAGGAACTATATGCATTTTCAATTCTCGAGGAACACTTAATGTACAATGTTTTATTTCAAGTTAATGAAAATCTATAACCCTGAAAATTAATGTAAAATGCAACAAAAATGCGTTTAAAAATTAATTTGTCACTTTTTCCTTGCAATGTTCGTGTGCGTTATTTAACTTTGAAACGTCACAAACGGATCGTACGTCAGTTAAGCACATCAGTTTAGAGGGCCCCTCATTAACATTAAAAATTGAGAAATAAATAATTATGACGAGGGAAAATTAGAGGATGAAAACTTAAGCATTGAATTCATATTTCATAACGCGCGGTATTCAATCTGTTGGTACGGCCAGGTGTGTTATAGGACCGACTTCATCCGAAAATATGAATTCAATTCTTACATGCAGCATTTGTTTTTCAATACCGAAAAAAATTTCGAGCGATGAGAAATGCATAGTTAGGGTGTCAAAAAAAACAATCATGTTTATCTAATACGTTTTTATTTTGGCATTAATTTATAATATTTCAATATTCAAGTAGAAAAGTTTTTTTTACTAATAAAAATATTATTTAACTAATGATCAATAGGTATGATGCTCTACTCTATTTATGGTTATTTTCGCTCCATCATATTTTCGTCCTTTCATGCTTGCAAACAATTTTGATCCACTTTGATTTCTCCAAAACATAACTCTGCTTTTGAAAATGCTGTCTTTTTAAACATTTGTCTAATTTTAAATTCGCTTACGAGCAACGGTAGTGAGACAGGAGAAAATAACACGGAGCGAAATTTTCTATGCATACAGTAAACTTTACTTTATAATTAGGTTTAATTTTACAAATATAAAAGAACATTGTCTCTTTTTATTCTATCTATCTCTCTGTACTATTCGCCCTCAAACTGCGTACTCTGCTTATTCTGGTGCTTAGTTATCAGTAATTCTAGTAACTCGACTAGGTTTAGTCCACACTGAAAAAAATATAATTATGTGAATGTTAACTTTTTATGATAAATCATATTTACTCCATTTTTCTTTTGTATTTAAATGAAGGTTTGTATAAAAACATAAATAACTTCATTCAGTGCTAAAACTATGTCTTTTTTTGCACAATTGAAAATACCTTATAGTTATAACAGAACTGGACATTCAGGTATTTTTTTTTACAAAGAAGTCATACAATTTTCTAATTTTCCTTTTTCTCAATTGGAACTTACCTTGATTATTTCCCCTTGTTCTTAGCGGAAGTATTGCTAAGTTATATGTATTGCTTGGCTCTTCTGCACCTTCTTGTGAAGAATCTTAAACATGCATTGATATTTTTAGAAAATATATCACTTGCATTTAAAACATGTAATTCTTTATTGTTAGCAGGTGATAATTTTTATTATACAAATATAAATGCGCCTGCCTCACTGGAAATTCTGTTAAAATAATACATATCCTGTCTACAATGCAATGAAAAGGTTTGGTTGTAAATGTATAAATGGTGCGATTTAGTTACCAGTTGTTGCTCATCTCTTATGCTTGGGAAACCATTAGGGTTTTAAAAAATGTTTTTTATTCTTTTTTTCTGCACTTTTTCCGCGAGTGTTGAATCTGCGCTATCAATTAAGGGGGGAACCTAATAGGGCTAATAGGCATGCTATGTGAATGTGTGAAACAAAAGTGTGCGCTGATGCGTCAATGTACATGCCCCGTGTGTAATTTTCAAATGACATAATTAAAATAGCTTTTACCCCGTGGCCAGATGTTTTATGAAATGCTCTGTACTCAGTCATTTGTAATCAACCATCAGGGGATGCTTACTCCTCTATGACACCTGATTCAATGTAATCTTTTTAGAGGTCCGTTTTAGCTCAGCTTCCTATGCGTACTGATTCAGTGGAACACTTAGCCTAATATAACTGTTTTTATCTTCATAATTCATTCCCTGAGAGTGATCGGGAGGCCCGGGTTCGATTCTCGTTCGCGGCGGCGCATCAAACCTAAGACATAAACATAGACAGTGACTGTTCCTTTGCCAAGCATCAGAAGTGAAAGCCTCGGGTCTTAACCTTTAGAACGTAGGTCCCATGTCGTTGTGTGCGTTAGCACGGTAAAAAACACTAACTGCTCAAGGGTCCTGAGTGCCGAATAAAGGTCTTTTCTTTGTTGCTTTGAAGCATACGGTGACATATGAATGAAAAATTCTCGAGAGGGACGTTAAACAACATACAATCAATCAATCGTTCCCTGAGTTTTAAAACATTGCTCTATAACACGACGTGTTACTAAAAGATATACTAATATATAATTTTTTGAAAGTATGAGAGGTCATATGACTTACATGTAGTAGATAATATCCAAGTTATTGGTGGGTGCACAGAGTGGGGTTCAACAGGGAGAAGAGGGGCTGTCTTGGAAGCCGTAATGAGTACCAATTATTTCAACAGTTTAGTAGTCAAAAGGGACGATGGTGACTTTTGGCAAATAGAGCATTTAATGGACAAGAGAGAAAAGGGAAAAATAATGTACATAACAAGTCCAAATGAAGGATATCTTTCCTTTTTTTGAAAACAGATTACTATAAACAACGTTAGCCTACTTTAAAAAAAAATCTAATGAGTAAGGAAAGTTATGATATAATCATCAAGGTCACGTAAAAAATCTATAAATATATCAAATATTTTTCCTAAAAACATATTAGGCCATCTTGAAAATAATATTTGCTTGCCTTCCCCAAATTCTGGGTAAAACAATTGGGTCGATAGTGAGGTTGTAATTTTTTTTTCCAGAAAATAGCAATATATTTGTTGATACATCATGTGTATATAAAAAGATATTTACATACAACATAAAAATATATATATTTATTGTGTGCCGGAATGCTGGAAAAAAGTTTGGAGTCGGGTCATTTAAATCATTTGGTCAGAAGAGGGCAACCAAACAATTCTTCAAAATGGCCCTACTTTACCTGTTATGAGGTCATAATGATCTTGCACCAGTCGTAAATGCAGCCATCCCCGAGCACCTTGGTCTGCCTTGGCTCTAATTATTCGGTATACACCACAGTTGTTATAATTAGTGATGTAAATATCCAAGCCATATAAGTCAGCTGCAGCTTGGAAAATGACAGCATCAGCCTCCTCACCATTTTGTCTTTGTTCGCTGTTTAACATGTAATAAGAAACTGGTGATAGTTGTATGTATATTTGCCTTTTTACTTTTCATAGAATTACCAGAAATCAGTTGTTAAGATTAGTAAGAGGCTAGAAAAAATATCAAAAAATTAGTCAGAAATATATAACAAACAAATGCTAATAAGGAACAGTGAATTTTATGCAAATAATGCTATTGTTGATAAGAAATCTAGCGGAATTCAATAAAATCTTTAACATATGTTTAAGTTGAGCCTTATAAATACAGTAAGAGGTACTGTTAAACTCACTTTCTTCTTAGGACAATTCTTATGGTTACTTGCAGCATCACTTTCTTACAAAAATATCAAAAATTTATTTGCTTTTACATACCATATGCATTTCTCGTATGCCCCTTCTCCTTTATAAAAGATCAAGGACGAGTACCTATCTTCGTGGTTAGACAAAAAGTTTAAGATTTCCTGACGTATAAATCTTTGATTGTCCTGGTAATACAGGAGGGATGATAAGGACTTAAAGAAAATGTCCCCAACTCCTACAATACAATGCAATGCCATGATGATTTTTACAATATACTTTAATTTTATTATTTAATATTGTATATGATTCCTTCCATAAGCTTTTCTGATGTTTTATTGTCCATCGTCCGTCCGTCGATCCGTCCCTCCGTCTGTAATTTATTTTTATTTCCAGCTTCTTATAAAGAACCAGTTGGCGAATTTTTACCAATCTTGGCACAAATAATACTTGGAAAAAGGGGAGTTTAAATTCTATAAATGAAATGTCCAGCACTCTTTAAAGCCGAGAAAATATAGCTTAAACAATAATTTCCAATCCGCATTTCTTCTCTCTATCCTACTAAACATTTGGGTGTGTTCTGATACATCCACTCTGCCTACTTTTTTTTCTTTTGATATATGGGTAGCCCAATCTTGGGGCAATCATTATACAAGATGCACATAATTTTTCCAGTCAAATGACACAGGGACAAACCAGAAAATGTAAAGGCTACATATATTTACGATATGGATTCTACGGGTCTCTCCTCCAAAGATGACGGCCGAAGGACAAAACTTTTGAAAAGTGTTGATTCAGCTATTGGGTGGGGTCATCAAAACTTTTTTCAAGAACTACAGTACAGAAAAGCTAAAACTTCTTTGGAAGCATTCTTGACTAGGGTAGACTCTAAATTGTTCAAATTATGAACCCCGGGGGAAGGTTGAGGCAACAATAGGGAAAGCAAATTTAACATGCAAATATACTGAGTATAGGAAAAATCTTTATTTCAAGAACCACTTGACAAGAAAAGCTAAAAACGTGTGTGGATGCATTCTGGGGTAGTGTATATTCTAAATTGTTCAAATCATGATCCCTGGATGTAAGAGTGGCCACGAAAGGGGAATCTAAATATAACATGCTAATATATTGATTTTTTATTCAATTTTCTCCACAAGAACCACCTGGCCAGTAAAACTGAAACTCATACAAAATCTACCTTGGATAATGTAGATTGTAAATTGTTTAAACTATAACCCCCGAGGGTAGGGCAGGGTCAAAATAAGGAATCCAAGTTTTGCATTGAAATAAATTGGAAAAATCTTTTAAAATCTTCTTCTTGAAAACCTCTGGGTCAGGAAAGCTGAAACTTATGTAGAGACATCCTGGGGTAGTGTAAATTGTCAATTATTCAAACCATAACCCCTGGTGTTTGGAAAGGGCCAGAATAGGGACTCAAAATTTAATCTTGAAAAATAAAGGATTAACATAAATCTTTAGAATTCTTCTGAAAAATACTGGGCCAGGAAAGCTTAAACTTATTTAGAAGTATCTTGGTATTGTGTAGATTCTAAATTGTTCAAATTATAATCCCCAGGGAAGGGCGGGGCCAGAAAAGAGAGTCTATGTTTTATATCAAAATATGCACGAATTTTTTGTTTAAAAAAAACTTCTCAAGATCACTGGGAGAAAAAAAAAACTGAAAAAAACATAGAAGTATTCTGGGGCAGTGCTAATTCGATACTGTCTACTTCATGACCCCTGGGCATAGGGTGGGTCAACAAGATGTATTACAAAGGGGGGAAACAGCATGGTTAAATTTACTAAGGTGAGCCTTGAAATAATTGATAACCTAAAGCATTTTTGGTAGGCTAAAGTTAGACCCTTTTAAGTTTAATAAGCATATATATAATATATAATATATAATATAATATAATATATTATATATCCAGGCAATCTTTATATTGCCAAATATATCTTTCTTAACAAATAGATAGATTAAAAATTTGCGAGAACTTTTACTAGAATGTACAACTTTTAACATGAGTCTATTTTTAGTGAATTTTAACATTTTTTACGTAATACATGATAATTAATTTTCGTATGGACACAAATATTAATATGTTCAATATATTAAACCTACTTAAAAATCGGCAAAACCCTGTCATCTTCAATACGCTTACATCAAACCCAGAAAAGAGGCCATTTTTTTGTTGTCGAAAAATGAAAATATTTTTAGGTCACGCATGATTGCTATATCCAAAAAAACATTTTTCTAGATTTGGATATAATTTGAAACATTAACAATAAATGTGTAAATTAAAAAGTCAACTTCACATTTTAGTAACTATTTATTTATCATCGAATGATATTTATTGGATTTTAAAGGCGAAAGTCAAAGAAAGTGGGATGTTTTATTCTCACCGGAAATGATGGCCCCTTATTTACGTGTGTATGCATATCTACAATTTTGATAATCCATTGTGGTACATTTTACTCTTCACCCAAAGGTCATGATTATTTCATATATTTCATCTCTAGGTCCAGTCGTTCAGTTCATGATCAGAAGAATTTTACCTATTAAAATACATTTCTAATAATGACCTCACACTAGATCATAATGTAATCAATTAAGACTATTTATGACTTCAAGATGCTTTTAAAATACTCAGTATGTTAATTTTGTTATTTTCCGGTAAATCTTGAGATTTATTTTCTGTTTAAAAATGAATATAAGAAATTATTTCTAATTATATTACTCAGAACTTACGCTCAAATGATTTATTTTCTTCTGGTCAAGGAGTTTCTTAATAGTTTTTATAATACGTTTATTCAGAATATAACTTTGGGCAATACAACCCATCAGTATATAAACAAAAACAAATATAAAGAACGAGTGGCGAGAGTCTGCGGGGGTGGAACCCCTAGTGCCCATCTGTCTGACTCCCATATACCAACAAATACACAATATATTTTAAGATCTCCATTATAAAATGAAAAATAACTTTAGTACATGTGTATACAACCGGTAATACATGTATACATATAAATTAAATACTTCATTATTTCTTAATTTCATCGCATGGAGAATTAAATTTCCTAAACCAATTGAAATCCTGACATCCTGAGAGCTGAGTAACTGAGTAAGCTTGTACATATTTGGCGATCTGAAATAATATGGTCTGATATATTTTTTTTGAAGTTTTATAAACAGGACATTCAAGCAAAAAATTACATGTATATTCATCTTCTATACAGTAATCACTACAAAATTGACATATTCTATTGCTTCTTTCAATTTTCTGATATCTTCCTGTTTCTATATTTATGTTATGGGAATTATATTCATAACTGGGGAAATCTTCACATATTTTTATTTCAAATCGCTCGACCACATCATCTTTTTGATATTGATTTGAATGTAGAAAGAAAAAATATTAAACTAATAATTCTACAATAAATACTTCATTCCACAGACAACAAAAACTAAAGAATAATGGATCAGGAAATTAGGCTTGCACAAATTACCCTAATCACTGACATTAATACTTTGAGTTTGATATCAAAATGATTGCAGAGTTTTTCAATGACATCTTTGTAGTTGCTAGATTATAACATCGAGAGAAAAAAATTGTTCGAATTATAATGGGTACAAAATATGTTCATTTATTGTTTCATGGTTATATTCCTGTGTCACTTCAAAGTTTAATTAGATTTAGAGAAGAAGGTTCAACCTGTGATGACTTTTAACTGAACATTCAGTTAATCCATATTTTTTTCGAAATTTAATAGTTGCGCATATTTCTTTTTATTTGTAAATTTGATTTCGAGGTTATATATAAAAGGAAATAGATGCAACTATTATTTATTGAAAAAAAAACTTTGAAATTGATACATGAATTTGTACATAAATTTTACCTTTATAGGTACAGAGAAGTTATCTCCTATTTTTCATTCCATAGGGAATAAAATGAGTTTTGATGCACTGTTTCATGAAAGATTGATAACTAGTCGACATTTTCTGTATATTTATTTAATTTCGTAAACATTAATCTGTCTTAATTTTACGCTAGGAGAAAATCCCTCAAAGTTAACTTATACTTGTACTCAATTGTTCTTCTTTTTATAATGAGACAATTTATTTTTATTTTATTGTGGACCATTTGTTTTAGGCCTACAGTCTTAATATTGGACTCTTGTTCTAGGAATGTCATATTTTTAGTAGAATCGTCCTATTGAAATAAAGCGAACCCTTTCTTTGGTGTACATGATGCCATTTCCTGGATAAAGTGTAATCTGTTTGTCAACATGTGAAACCCACCTGTATTTTAGGGTAGGTGTTTTAAACTTTAGATTTTCTTCCTTATATGCCGCATGTGATTTCATTTTCTCACATAAGCATTTATCTTCCCTTTCTCATATTCATTTTCTGTCGAGAGTTTAGTTAATTTATTAATTTCAATAAAGCTACAAAGTATCATGTAGTAAACTATTTCCTTATTTGATGTAAATTGTATATCAATGGGATAATAGGTTATTAATTAAATGCTAAAAACTGAATAAGTTCTTGGCATATTAACTCAAAAAGGATCAATTAATCATTTTATATTCATTGGAGTGTAAAGTTTAGCAAATAAATTCTCTACATATAAACTCTTTTTTTAACAAGCAAGAACTATTGACGTATAAGTTGATGAAATAAAGCCGTCATCAATCTCTCATGAAATCGAATGTTGATTAAAGTTTTCAAACAAACTGTTAAACCGTTATTTTCACACCAAATTGTATGCAGATTTTTAGGTCAAAAAGGAAACTTTTGACGGGCGTCGGCGGTTTGACCAGCAGACAGGAGTGCTTAGTGGCACCCGTGTTACCTCTTATGTTCTTGAAAGTCCAAGTTTCCCCTACTTTCAATTTGTAAACCTATACTTTCAATGTGTATAGTTTCAAGTGACTTTTGAGCTCAACATCTGTTTTTTAATATCCATATTTCCTTTTGAAGACTCGAGGACCGATATACTTTACTAAAATTGTGTAAAATACAGAATATGTAAGCAGTTGTGAAATGTCAATTTAAATGAATGTGTAAATGAAAGAGTGTGTATATGAGCGCATTATTATAACTAGGAGCTTGTTTAATTTATATACACATTATGTTGCTTTTAAAATTGTGTTGACTTAAACACAGTTACCCATGGCTCTTACATTTATTTTTTAGCGAAAA